AAATCCAAATTGCTCATCTGCAAAAATTGAGTTCGTATTGATGTGAAGCATCATTCTATTCAAAATTATCTTTTCAAAAAGTTTACTTATTGAAGAAAGCAAACTTATTGGACGGTAGCTAGAAGCTTCAGCTGGATTTTTATCCGGCTTCAAAATTGGAACAACTTTTGCATTTTTCCATTTATCAGGAAAGTATGCCAAATGGAAACATCTGTTAAATAATTTTACCAAGAAAGACAAGGTACTCTCTGGGAGTTTTTTGATGAGGATATAGAAAATTCCATCATCACCTGGAGCTTTCATATTTTGAAAATTTTTAGTTATAGACCTTTCTTCGTCCAAATCAGTCCCCCAGGAATCATCAAAAATATTTCCCCGAGAGAAAATATTCAGATAATCCCGAGCAACCTGATTCTCAATAGGACTAGTAAGACCCAAACTGAAATTATGGGAACTCTCGAATTGCTTAGCAAGTTTCTGAGCTTTTTCCAAATTTGTGATCAAAATTTTACCACCTTCTTTAAGCGCTGGAATAGGCTTTTGAGGTTTTTTCAAAATTTTTGTGAGTTTCCAAAAGGGTTTGGAACTCGGGTCTAATTTAGAAATATTATTTTCAAAAGTTTTGTTCCTCAGGGCAGAGAATCGCTTTTTAATTTGTTTTTGCAAATCCCGCCAGATAACTTTCATGGCAGGATCGCGTGTTCTTTGATATTGTCTCCTACGGACATTTTTAAGACGGATCAAGAGCTGAAGATCATCGTCTATTATAATTGAATCGAATTTAACCTCGCATTTTGGTACTGAGGCAGCTCTTGCTTCAGCTATAGAAGTAGTCAGAGATTCAAGAGCATAATTAATTTCATCTTTGGTTTGCAAAGGAATGTTTGGATCGAAGTTATATTCCATAAATGTTCGATACTGCTCCCAATCAGCTCTATGGTAATTGAAAGTAGAGCTGTTGGGATTACAAATTATTTCTTGGGATATTTCAAAAGTTACTGGAAGGTGATCAGAACCGAAGTCAGCATGGGTAACCAATTGGCTACAAAGATGACATGAATCAGTTAAGACCAAATCAATAGTTGAGGGATTTCTTGCAGAAGAAAAGCATGTTGGGCTGTTTGGATATTGAATAGTGTAATAACCTGCAGAACAATCATCAAACAGAATATTACCATTGGAATTGCTTTGAGCATTATTCCATGAGCGGTGTTTTGCATTAAAATCACCAATAATGAAGAATTTAGACCTATGACGGGTAAGTTTCTGGAGGTCACCCTTGAGAAAATTCTTTTGCTGGCCTACGCATTGGAATGGCAAATAGGCAGCTATAAACGTAAGTTGTCCAAATTTTGTTTCAACAGAAACCCCCAAAGTTTCAAAAACTTTGGTTTCAAATGAAGAAAGAATTTTATGTTTGATTCGTCTATGAATAATGATGGCAACGCCACCACAGGGTCCATCAAGACGATCATTTCTATAAGTCAAGTAATTTGCGTCCTTCTTAACCTTATGGGCAGGTTTAAGGAACGTTTCAGTTATAACGGCAATATGCACGTTATGAACTCTTAAAAAGTTAAATAGCTCGTCTTCATTATCTTTAAGAGATCGAGCATTCCAATTTACAATATTTAATGCTTTAAAATCCATTACTGAATTTTAAAGTCATGACAATATTATTTGCAAATTTTACTCCAGTTTGAATAGCATCAAACATGGAGTTAGATTTAAGCATATCAGAAATCATGTCAATTAATGAATTCTGTAAAAATTCCATTTTGGGGGCAGTAATGCTTCCTAAGTCAAAATTGTCAAAATTTCCATTAGAACGTTGGTTAGTATTTTGATTTCTACCCGCTGCAATAGAAGCATAGGTAGCTCCATTAACTCGCTGAACATTGTTAGCAGCGAGGGGAGTAGGTACAGATGAAACATTTGAAGCAGGGGAGATATTTGTACCTACGGGTACGAATGTAGAATTTGTTCCTCGCTGACCGTTGTTAACAGCAGAGGAATTTGTACCTGGTCGGAAACGTGGAGCGTTTCCTACCTGACGGTTAGAACGAGATTGTAGGATCGCTTTGCGAGTCTTACATTCCCAAAAATTGGATTTGTGGTTTTCACCACAATTTGAACATTTAAATTTCTTAGGATCTTCCTTCACAGGACAGTCGTCCTTTGCGTGAGAGGAATCACCACAATTCATGCATTTAGCTGGCATGTAGCAATTTTTAGTTCCGTGACCCCATCCCTGGCACTTACGGCACTGGGTGAGGTTTTGGAAATTTCCTCCAGTCTTCCTGAAGTGTTCCCACTTCACTCGGACATGGAGCATAAGGCTAGCTTTTTCTAAGGCCTTAAGGTTGTTTAGTTCACTAGAGTTGAAGTGAACTAAATAAAAATCATTAGAAATCCCGTTGCGCGAAACGCCAGGACGGGATTTCATTTTCATTTTGATTACTTGGAGTGGCACAACTCCAAGTAATTTTGCCAGTTCATCTTTGATCTGATCCAGGGATTCACCACTGGGCAGTCCTTTCATGACAACCTTGAACACACGTTCAGTTTTGGTGTCGTAAGTAAAAAATTTGTGCTTCTTCTCAGTAAGATACTTGAGAAGACATTTAAATCCGTCCAAGGTTTCAGCCAATACACGGCATTCACCCCGACGTCCAATTTGTAGTGAAAACTTAACTTTCACGAAATTCAAAAGTTCCATGCGAAGAGCATGGAAATCGGTAGTGGTTATCACAATAGGGGGAATCTTTTCCTTCTTGGCATTAAGCCGGGAAAGTTTACTAGAATTTTTCTTGGATGATGGATCATTCTCATCATCCGTGAGCAAATCAAATTGATTACTCAAATTAATTTCATCAGAAGGGGGGTCAAGAGTTTGCCCCTTTCTTTTGCGTTTAGGCGCCATGGCGGCAGTAAATTTTTATCCAAATCGACTTCCAAGCAGATTACTATAAGAATCTGAAGGATCGAAGAGGAATTTTCCAAATCGATATCCAAGAAGGATTACCTCGGGTAGGGTCCAAACAAGGATCGAAGAGGAATAAGAGTTGAACAAGGTAGAAAATTTTTACAGGTTGAGCACTGAAAAGTGCTGTTTAAATTTGTTGTAGCTTTAGGTAGTAGTAACACTTCCTTCAGCAAAAAGCAAATAGATCCGCACGGCAAGAGAGCACGATGCGGACTGAGAGTGTTCTGGTGATAATTCCAACCCTAGTGCGAAAGATTCATCACAGAGCTCTAATAAAATTGTTTGCAAAAAAATGCTGATAATTAGAAAGAAATTCTTTAAAATACTCCAAAGATTTCTGCTGTTTTGAATAGAGTTAAAAGAAAATTTTGAAAATAATTTCATAGCAATTAAAGTCTCCGAATAGGCTCAAGGGAATTCTAAGAAGAATCTAATCAAATTCTTACAAGGGTTTCAAGAAAAATCAAAACAGAATTCAACGATACTTACTAAGCGGAGTGTTTTCTGGTTAATTTAAAAAAATACATATATATATATTTCAGAACAGAATTCCAAGTTAATTCTGGAATTCATATCATGAGATTTTTGAATAAAATTGCATGGTTGATTTCAAATTAAAAACAAAAAATTAAAACCTTGGAAAAGAATAGTTCAGATTCAGTTTTTAAGAATATTTTTTTCCAAAGTCTAGCATCTTCAATATTTTCTTTTAATGCCCATGCACTTTTACATCTGAAATTGAAACGACAAAAATCAATTTGAATTATTGCTGATTGATTAAACACTAAAAACAGTAAGACGGGAAACTGAAGTAAATTATGCAGCAAATAGAGCTAGACATTCATTTGGTAAAGAATCACTCTGTTTTAATGTTTTATTCTAAAATTCTGGTATACAAATTTGTTCCTATGGTATGATAAATTTATTTTTCCCGGTTATCTCGTCGAATTCCCGGGTTTTTCCCGGTTACTTTTCAAATTCCCGGATATTTCCCGGTATTCCCGGTTTTCCCGGTACGCTGGCCACCCTGAGTGAGTCACTTTTTCGTAGGATTCACACGACCACAATCGAATCGGTAGAATAAAGTAAATGATAGACTCCGATTGTCATACCACTCCAATCGTCCAGTTACAGACCAAATGATACCCTGATGCTCCCCCTCAACCCAGTATTTATTTATTTAAATAAAATATATGTAATGGAGAAATGAGTTAAATCTATCGTCTATCTATCAATAAAATAATCTCGTAGTTCTACGTCAACAATGCGGTCGTGCTTTAGACACAAACCTCCACTTATTTTTCTAATTAATTCTCAAGACGGATGTTCAAGGTATACTTTGGTGCAATAATACCACTGAAAAAGCTCATGAGCATGAGGGAAAATGGGTCATTACTGTATAGTAAAGAACAACCAGGTCTTAGCCCGAAAGTTAAGATAAGCAGATGAGGCTGAGAATTGAAAATTTAAACTGAAACTGGAAATTGAAAACTGAAAATTAAAATGACATTGAAATTCGAAACCAAACTGAAAATTTAAATTTTAAATTTTAATTTTACTTTGAATTGACAGCTCTGAGAAGAAAAACGGCCATAAAATGAACAAATCGTCCAGCACAGGTATTCTACTGGAAAAGTTGTAGGCTATCCTGTTCGAAAAAAAGTTCTGAATGCATCCATTTAAATGGTCATTTAAATCCCGGTCCGCACAACAATGCGCACCTTTAAATCCAAGAACAACCTGTACCCTATTCATTGTTGGCAAAAAAAGAAACAACCGCTGAGCGGCAAACCAGCCGGCCATTGTCCAGGTTAATATTTTTCGCAAATATCTGACCGGCATAGGAGCCAAACAAAACCAAAAAAGTCCGAAAACGAAACACCCGAGCTCGGAATGGTCTTTCAAGATCAAAGCCACGGCGGCAGCGGCATCCAGCTGATAATGACATGGAAATGGTTTTCGAATTTGCATGCTAAACAACCGACCAGAAACGAAGAAAATTGCAAAATCACCTTCACTTCAGTTGGCCGGGGCTTGTGGTCGTCACCGCTCTATCGGGTGAAGAAGGGACATACCTGAAACGAGACGAAACGAGGAAGAAGTGAGATAAAATTAGTGTAAGTAAATCATTTCCAGTTGTTGCTTTTTGTTTATTTTGTTGACCAAAGGTTTTGGTCATTTGCAGGTTGAATCGAGCGTTTCATTGTTGTTTTTCAGTTATTTTTTTTTTAGATATAAATGTGAAGTATATTACCTAGACAGAAGTCATACAACAATGCACAGGTAGAATTGTAAATTATTGTCGCTACAGTTGAAAACTGGCATAACCGGCTAGCGAAAATCAATTTTACTCTCGTTATATTCGCAATACATAGTGTCGGAAGTAGTGCGCTGCATAGCGCATAATTGTGCGATTACAGCACACTTCTTCCTACACTAAGTATAACGTATAGAACGAGAATAGAATCGTTATTCCAGTTTTCAACTGTAGCGACCGACAATACACAGATAGTATCGTAAATTACTACAGATTAGTCGTACATAAGCATGACATTTACCTTAATAATATAATTTGCCTAATATTGCAATAGACTTCACGCGACGATGAACACTGGTACTCACCTAATTGCAATGTACTTTCCAATTCGAACCTATGACAAAAAGTCGACAGGACAATAGCGTGAAAGAGAAAAGGTCGAAAGACAAAAGGTCGAAATCCTTAAAATGATATTATTTTAAGAAATCCATGTTTCAAAGTACGAGCAAAATATTATAAAATCATATGTTCATATGACTCTTCCGAATTTTTAATTTCAGAATTTTTACATCAGCTTTAGAGTGTTCACTCGGCTGTCGACAGAAGCAGGCCACTCTCGTTGTGTGTCACGCGATCGTCTGTTTACTCGGCAGCAACCATTGTGTGGTCCTCCTCATTGTTCTTCATCAGCAGCTCTTTCAGTCGATGCGTCGTCGACTTTGCAGAGCAATCGTTTCGTGATGAACGTGTGACTGATGACCACGTTTTGCGTCCATTGCTGCAATGGTAGCGCTCTGACCCCCGTTGGCAAATCTTATTGGATTGCGGAAGATAAAATGTTTATTGTATTGTACCTTTTGACTATAGTTTTAAGATGTATTGTATAGTGAACAAGAATCCTCGGCTCTGTAAAGTTAATTGGGTTGAGCCTTATCAAATAAATTAATAAAAAAAAACATCAGCTTTATGCATTTCGACCTTTTGTCATAGATTCGAATTGGAAAGTACGTGGCATAAAGGTGGGTACCAGCGTTAATCGTGGCGGTAAGTCTATTTCATTATTAGGCAAATTAAATTATTTAGGTAAATTTCATGTTTATTTTCGACATTTTGTCTTTCGACCTAAACCTGTAATTAGACAATGAAAAAAGCCTTTTCAGTGGCCCGTAAAAATATAACAACAACCTCATTTAATCGTTGTTGATCACCTTTCCCAGCAACTCTCACAGTCCTCAAATTTACGCAATAAATTGTCTGTCAAATATCCTTTTTTTATTTTATTACCGCTCACAGAGTCTCAATTTTCCACCACCCTCAACAATAATGCACCAACCACCAAATCTCCGATCCGTATGATCTATTGAAGACCTTTAAATTTCTGCCCATTCTTCTTTTCAGCTTCTTTTTCTCAACGAAAAGAACGAAAAAAATCGAGATTCCCAAATTTGATACGACACTCAAAGAGGACAGGAAAAAGCGGGGGCAGCCGCAGTCAGGTGATTTCCCATAAGCCAAATCAGCTGACGAGCGTCGTCGTCGTCGTCGTCGTCAGCTCAGGGTGCAACAACAAAAATCATATGTTTTCGAATCCGGAGAGTCGTCCTTTTTCGGTTCCCAGAGGATCCGATTGAAAACAGAAAAATCGAAACCAAGGGACCTTCCTCGAATTTTTGCGGAATGCCTTTAAGGACTTCTTGGCTGGAGGTGATCCGTTCGCTTTTTTTTCCCTTTCTTGAGCCTTCTTTTAAAAAGATAGCTTTCAATAGAAGATTCTGGCAAAAAAAAAGAACTGAACAAATCTTCAAGTCATGAAACGAGACACTTTGTTCTTTTTTTTTTCCTGTAAGGCACAGGGCAACTACAACAACGAAATTGGTAATAATCGAACATTCTTATTGTTGCGAAGAAACCAAAATGAAAAATTGCTATAAAATCTTCCGTAAATTGATCTAATGGATGGCACCGAGGAGCAACCTGCCACTGACGGTTTTCCCAGCGCTTCGGGATCAGACCTTTATTGAATTGAATGTCGGGGAGTTTTGCACTGGCTGTTATTTCGCTTTCGAGGACAGAGATTATCCGGTGTTTGCACACAGGTTATTTTCTTCGAGGGAATTCTCCGGTGGGTTTGGAACAAGAAAAAAAAACTTGGGCTTTCTCTTCCCGGGGGCTGTGGGCGATTAATTGTTTGCGAGAAATATCCGTTGCTTTCTATTCGATGCAACTATGGACCAGAGGAGGTTGGCGCGAACGTGAGAAAGTCATTGCCTTTTGCGGCTATTATTGAAGGGATCACATTTTTTTTATTTAAACCTGCTTGCACTAATAGCTTTAGGAAGTGTCATAAGAAATTGATGCAGTGATAATGATAATAATGATAATTTAGAATAAATTGCAATTTAGTGAGCTGGAACACAGAATAAAACCTAAAATTGATTGCTACACGTTGAATTTATGGTTAAAAAAAAGAAACAAATATAAATGAAAAATATTGAAAACATATTGCAGAAACTCATTTTTTTGTTATAAAATTGTTTTATTTTCAACCAAAATTACTTGATTTTTGTACCGTTTATATTTTTCCAGAAAAGATTTTTTTTTTCTCCTACAGCTTTGTCTCAGACGTAATTTTGATTGGAAGTGACGTTTTTGAGTGATGATTTTTTGAAAAATATTCAATATACCGACCGACTGATTGACCACAATAAATAATTACAGGGTGGCAAGAGACTTTTCAATTTGAAATTTCCGGTTTTGTCGGTTAAAATCTTAAAAATTTCTCAGTTGTTGATGTTCAACAAAAACGAAATTGTACGCATTTTTTAAAACGTGGCCAACTGTAAATTTTCAGTGATTATGTGTGGGAAAACAAAGCCAAATTACAGAAAGTATTTTCTAAAGCTATAGGAAAAATTCAACTCTATAAGTCACTTAATGTATTCAAAACAATTTATTGATCTTTCGAGATACTTTTATAAATGGAATTCTACCACTTTTTATGCTCGATACATCTTATAATTTCAAAGCCTTAGAATTTATTGAATGACAGAGATTAAGGTCACTAGGCCAAATGCTATCTAGATGAATAGGTTACAAGACAGAATTGTGAAGAATAAGGGATTTAATTGAAAAATGTTTCAGGAAAATGAACTTGATACAAATGAGAATTAGAGCAAATTGATAGTGATATCGGATAAAGAAAATGTGTATTCACTCCATTGTCTATACTAACATAAAAATTTACCTCCCAAGTAACAATTCAGTAACCATTTGGCATCCACTCCGATTTATGATGGTTTTATAACGGCAATGAACAATCCATTGAGTTTAAATACAGCATGTCAAAGTGTAAAACATTCCTGCTAAGTAATTCAGCTTTTTGCTGTTTTAAAAACCTTTTATAGCCCGGCAAGAAAATCAAAAACTGTCTTGTTTAAAAAATAAATTTAAAATAGTTTTCAATCCCTCCTTAAAGCTGTTCTGGAATTCAAGCATAAACGTCATTAGCAATTGTTTATTAATGTCTTGATAATATACTTTATAAACGTATTCTATTATTATAAAAGCAACCAGGTTTTTCATTAGAGCAAAAAGCATTTATTGTTGCTTTTTAGGCTTTTTAAAGTGCATCGTAAACTCTCCACTTACTCTGTTTACAAATTGAGCTTAAAAGATGGTTCCTCATAGTTACTAAAAGCCAAATTTATGAAAAGGAAATCTCGAAGGAGCCGTCCAGGATGAAAAATTCAAGTAGATTTCAGCAAAATTTACTTCTTTAGAAGAACCAGCACACCATCAAAGACTGACCATCTGGTGGAGAAGAGTAAAGTAAGCGTGGCCCTCGAATTCATAAAACATTGTCAAAAGTTTAAAAACAACCAGCCTTCTCCAGATCTTGCGAATAGATGACAACCGACAGCAAACAACTGAAACTGTTAATTAGCGGAGATTAGCTGGTTTCCGATCCATAGCAGCGATTTTATTCGGTGAAAGAATCAACGTTGGATGGTGCACTTCTGTAACCATCCGCAAGAAGGGGATCTTTTTCGGGATCGATTGCGCTTCCAGCTGTTCAAAATGCGAAACGTTGTAAAACAGTATCGCAAACTATCTGAGCAACTGCTCCCAATCCATCGGGAGAAAACCGCCTGGAAGAATCCTGGATCCCACAGCACAACTATCGAAAGAAAAACAAACTTTGACGTTTAACTTTTGCAGACAACTTTGCCTCCATAAATGCTGCCATAAATCTGAACGGGTTAGGATCAAGCAAACTGGTTTTAGATAAATACAATTCAGCCAGCAAGTTTTCTTCATAAAAGCCATTTTAAAACCTTATGAATTTGTTAATTATTTCTTAAAAGCAAAACAACTTTTTCACAAATGACCCATGGAAATCAACTTTTATGCCACCGCCAAGTTACAATTAGTTTGCTTGTTTTTTTTTCAGTCTTCGATTTTCTATCTATATATTCTTGGATACAACTATATTTTGGTAAATTAGGCAATGAGCAAACTTTTTAATGCGAAGATTATAAAAAAAAACTCAGCCTAGCTCGATCTGAAAAACAATTTATTTTTTCAAAGAAAAATAATTACTCAAATCGACTTTTTACGAAAACGGACCTATTTTCTTCGATGTTTTCACGTACATTTCACATAACATTCAATAAGGCACTTAAAACTAGGCCACTTAATGAGAACTATTGTAATAAATTTGGAAATTCAACACGTTTTTTATACCATCAGTTTCTATTTTAATTATTTTGATAAGATCGGATTCATAAATCCTTTTCTATCTTGATTGATGCTTTCCTA